AAACGCAACTTTTGCCTACAGCGCAATGAGCAATTTGCAAATAAAACAATTTAATTAGTTAAATATTGTAGTAATACTTTAGTAATTTCTTTTTATTGAATCCTCTGTTGACCTGTTATGATTAATACACTGTATTTGAGTTCGACTTGAGTATAAAAATAGTATAGATAAAAATAAATGTTTTGAGTTGCAAATAATAATAATAATTCATAATAATGCAGTGATTTTTTTATAATTATCACCTTTACATTTTTAAATAATTTAACCACACTTCACATTTAGTGCTTTTCACAATTTTGCATGGTTGCAAAGCAGCTTTACATACATACAGAAAGTAGTTACAAAAGTAAAGATGTAAACAACATATGGCTAGTTAGTTTGAAATGGTGAAAGACATTCTCGTACTTGATCAGAGGGTTTATTTTAGTACAGTATATTCCAAATACACGCCAATGTGTCACAGATAGGCCAGGCTCAGCCACCTCCCAATCACAGCGAACACCATCACCTGAGTACTGATCACACGCACCTGTCACTAATCTGCAATCATCATCAGCTCCTCTTTAAAAGCACAAACCTCACTTCACTCCAGTGTCTGGTCTCGTTTCAATGAAGTGGACTCTCTCTATGCTATCTGTGAGAGACATTGAAAGACTTACCTGCCTGTTATACTTACCTCCTGTGTTTCCTCCAGTGTGTTCTCCTGTGTTCCATTCCCTTGTCACCCAGTCATCAGCTCTGTAGATTTTCCGTGTACTCATCATCTGAGGTGTGTGCAGTCCTCTGTCTCCCTTCCACGATCTCCTGTGAAATCCAAATATGGTGTTACTCTCCTCATCTTCCCTAAAGATTGATATAAAGCTCAAATACTCACCTGCCTGTACCATCTGCATCATTTGCTGAAAATGAACACCTCTTGTATTTTTCTAATCCTCTGAGTCTCCTTCCGTAACACAATGCACCTGAACCAACATACTTTTTTTTTTCTCCATTAATGGTTCTTTAATGTCCTGTACAGACAACAGCAACATTGCACTTTGAAATGTGGACTGCAGCCTTTTGGGCTGTTAAAATATTATGAATTACTAAACAAATTATTACGGATGGTTTTACTCCATATGCATTCACTGAAACATAAGCAGTTCTGCACGTTCACATTCTTCCACCAACGAATGGAACTGTGCCGCTTACATTAAGACTACTCAGCAATTCACAGTCTTTAAATCCATATAATTTGTGCTTTCATCGATGGAAAATGTCTGTTTACTTGTAATAGTACTTAGTAGTATAGTATAGGGCTGAACGATTTTGGAAAATAATCTAATAGCGATTTTTTTTTTCCAATATTGCGATTTAATATGCAATTTTTTTTTTAAAGCTCTTTATGTTCTGTATTATTCAACAAAGACAAGCTATAAATCATAGTATAGTATGACCAACACAATATTAGATAGATTAAACATAAATGTTCTTTTCTCTAGGCCAGGTCTATATGTTGCGATGAAATTAGGTGTTGCATGAATTGATATGAATTAAATTTTTATTTAACAACTACAATCACAGTATATTGACTGATTTGTTGAACTCCCAACCTTGTAAGCATGTAATCCTCTGCGATTGAAAAATCGTGTTTTTCACATCGCTATATTATCGAAAATGCAATTAATCGTTCAGCCCTAGTACAGTATAAAAAGAACACAAAGTAATCACAGTTTTTCCCAGCGCATGTCTGCTTTGGTGGCCATCTAATAAAGCGAGTACGCTTGTGTCGCAGCGACTCAGGTTCGAATCCAGTCCATAGTGTTTCCTACATTCATTGTTCAAATGTCTGTCCCCAGTGTGTCACTGATGTTCTCCGGGTGAATTAGTTAGCTGGTATGCTGGGAATGTTAGTAAAAGACGAATTGTAAAGCTGTGCCATAATTTATAAAGATTCATTATTTGCTGTAAAAGCACACAATAAGGATGTTATTAGCATACTTCAAGTTTACTTTGAATGCCATTGCAGTGCGTTTTAAAGTTACTAAAAGTAAAGGATAGTATGACCTCAGTTTGTTATTAGTATAATATTAATGCATGTTTAACACTCTTAAAGTGTAATTGTAATGTCAGCAAAATACATCTGATGTTTATGCTGAGTGAATTCTGCATTTCAAAACCCACTTACGCTCAGGTGCGTTTTTTGGTATTTTTGCCTAAATTTGACATACTCAAATTCAAATGTTTACCCTACACACATACAGTGGAGGAAATAAAAAAAAAAATGGTTTAATTGTAAAGAAAACCATTTGAACTTCATAATATGAGTGTAATTCTTTATAAATAACATTATATATATTTCAAATATTACAATAAACACAAAAAAACATAGGCGCTTTTTGATTTTTAAAAAAATATATATTTTTTTAAATCTGTAATTCAGGTTCTATTAGGTCCAGCTCTTTGCAATTTACGTTGTTTGATGCCATTAGACGCCAAAATATACCAGAAAAAAGAATCTTTCAAATAACAGCTTCTAAACAGGAGTTATTGCATTATAAGTGAAGCGAGTAAAATTGTCCTTTTTTGCATATATTCATGTCATTTTGAGTTTCCTTTGCAAAAACAGGCTTTATAAAACACTTTACCCCAATAATTCTATTTTACTATGTGCCATAAGCACTTTTCTTGATTATTGATTGAATAATGGTTCATTTTTATGTTTTTCTAAGTAGTACCGTAATATACAAAATGGCATAAGCGAATTGGACCAATTTCAGATTTTGTGTTTTCTACAATCCAGTGTTATTCTTTCAGGATACAGAAGACTGAATACATTATAAAATAAATCTGGTCTATCACAATCTAAAATAGAATCCACATCCTCCAGCTTTATATCATTCCATTTATGTGCATTCTGTATTGGTATACTGATTCAGAGCATCTTCTTACCTCATCAGCTGAGCCATCCCTGCATCCAACTACCTCTTCCTGCCAACATCTTTGCATCCCTGGACCAGAGCTGAGCTAAAATGATAGCCGTGGCTGCTGTGACCTTCAGAGTGTGAAACAAACAAATAAATTATCATTCACACAGTGCTGTAATGATTCCATGTATATTTACTGTATATTTTCTGTCAATAAACAGTTTTATCCGATTGTTAGCTGTGCTATCACATTTCAAAATAAAGATTCAAAGATCACAAACGGAGAAAACATGCTGATAAAGCCTCACCAGACACGTGTCCATTCCTCTCCACGGCGCCGCTGAACGTTCTTCATCATATACAACTTGTAATATGATTATCATAGATTGATATTCTCCGAGCCGCATTTGCTTTTCCGCGTGGCCGTTTTGCTCTCAAACCAGTCTGAAACTACAAGTCCCAAAGAACAACACGCTGCGAGGAGAGCTGTCCCGGATCCGGATGCGTGTCAGCCCCCTCGACCACCCTCCCCTGCTGTTGACGCAGAGGTGTCAAATTTAAAAAATTGGCCCGACGTGAGTGTGTCATAAAACCTGACCAACTGCAATCAACAGACTCATCAGAGTTCTAAAAGATCAGACTTGCCTGGCATTAGAGCTTATGATTTGAAGAGCGTGTCTGTGGCAGAAAGTGCGCATGTTTTTTCTGGTGCGCATCTGGACAAAACGCTATATATCTCACCGATGGAAGCACGCAGAAATGTGAAAATGGTCATGTTTGAAAGAAGAGATCCTAATCTAAAAGATAATATAGAGTATATAGATATCTGTGGCTGTTTGCGGCTGACTGAAGCAGTGCTACAAGTAGGAATGTAACCCATACAAAAATGTGCTTAGAGGTGAGAAATTTCACAACGTGATTCTATTGAAGATCATTCGATCTGTGATTGTCACACAATGAAATAATCTACAAAGTCAAATTCCTGAGAATGAGAACGTTCTTGTGATATATAACTTGACTGTTTTGTGAAAAATATATAAAATACACATTCTTCGGAAAAATTATTCGCAATCATTAGGCGGAAATTTGTGTGTGGGACAAATACATTTCTAAGCTTAATTTTACTACTTTATGAATCCTAAAACCAAGATTTATGTGCATCTTTCTTTGTAAAGAAGACACTCCAAGCTTTCAAATGCACCCATATATGGGCTAATACCATATAAGGAAGGCTATGTAAATGAAGCATAAACATTTTTAACGCGGAGTCTAAGTACAAGGGATATTTAAAGTGTTCTTAAGTATACTTAAAATAGTTCCACTTTAGCACAGACAATTATATTTATTACAACTTTAGTTGTACTTAAGCACTGCTTTGGCACAACTAAAATGCATTTAGTACAACATTAGTTTAACAGACTTTAAGTATATCAATTTACAGTGTGTGCCACAAATACATTTAGTTATACTAAAGTACATACGAATAAATTGTGCTTAAGTATACTATTTATACACTAGGGTACCAATAATCTTACTAGCCAAATGAGTTATCTTTAAAAGTTTGAAAGTCTTAATAAGTCTTAAAAATGTATTAACATCTGTAAGCATGTGAAAGAAACAAATGGCACCATACATAAGAACTGGCTCAATAATACTTTGATACAAGAGAAGAAGGAGACGAGGCTGAACAGACAAGTGCTTAAGTTTAAGGAGAACTGTAAGTCTCTGTTAACAGCACTTGTAGATACCTAGAATATGCTGATTAAAATTGAGATGATCATCCAATGTAATGCCAAGGTATCTAAAATAATCCACCCTTTCAACCATCTCTCCATTGATAATAATACCGGAACGGATCTGTGTTTTGGAGGAGCTAAAATCCAGATCTTTAGTCTTTGAAATATTAAGGTGAAGAAAATTATCATCACACCATGTACTAAAGTATGTTATGGAATGGTGATACTCCAAAAAATAATCATTATCCCTGTTATTGAGCAGCGCAAGAATGGCTGTGTCATCTGCATATTTAAATATTGAAGTTGTTTTGTAGATGTTTATATTACTTTTTTATCATGTTATTTTGGTTTGTGACAGGCTAAATACCACAAAGATGGAGGATTGTCATCTAGTCAGAACACTCAATGTGCATCAGGCAAGAGCGTGGCATGGAAGGGTCCCCGCACAGTGGAGCTGCAGAAGAACTCTCAGGGCTTCGGTTTCACATTACGGCACTTCATAGTCTATCCACCGGAGTCTGCCCTCCACACTAACCTGAAGGTAACAAAAAAGCCATTAAAGATGAAAATGAAAATTTAAATTAAGTTGATACTGAAGTCCACGTTTGCTTCGCAAGTAAATATTATGGCTTGTTTTTTGAGAATATATCTTGAATTAAATGTATTTTCGTACCCCATCACAACATTTGATTTATGTGTTTAAAAAAGGGAGAAAAGAAATAGATAGATAGATAGATATGTTCTTTTCTCCCTTTTTTAGATAGATAGATAATTTATTTGTCCTCAGAGAGGAAATTCATTTTCACAGAGGGTGCGTATATAGCACCAAGACAGCTGATAGTCTGATCATTTACAGTAGGAATACAAATAATTTTACTAGCCAAATAAGTTACCTTTAAAAGTTTGCTCTTATTAACAACCGTAAGCATATGTAAGAAACAAATGGCACCATACATAAGAACTGGCTCAATAATACTTCGATACTGGAGAAGAAGGAGACGAGGCTGAACAGACAAGTGCTTAAGTTTACGGAGAACTGTAAGTCTCTGTTGACAGCACTTGTAGATACTTAGAATATGCTGATTAAAATTGAGATGATCATCCAATGTAATGCCAACCCAGCCGGCATTTCAATGCTGATTCACCATTGAATCAACATCTGGTACCATGGTTGAATCAACATTGAATTATGTTTTGATTTTGCAAATTGGATCAGCATTGATTTTGTGACATTGTTTCACCATTGAAATTGCAACGTTTTTTCACTGTCATACCATGTATGGGTGAATTAAGGTCTTTCGTTGAATTAACATTGAAATAGGTGTTGATTTTGCTAACTGAATTAATGTTGATAACACAATGTTTCACTGTCTTACCATTCAACATAGGTGAATACACAACTGTACGTTCAATTAGAACCACTGATCTACATACAGTGGGTTCGGAAAGTATTCAGACCCCCTTAAATTTTTCACTCTTTGTTATATTGCAGCCATTTGCGAAATTCATTTAAGTAAAAAATTTTTCCTCATTAATGTACACACAGCACCCCATATTGACAGAAAAACACAGAATTGTTGACATTTTTGCAGATTTATTAAAAAAGAAAAACTGAAATATCACATGGTCCTAAGTATTCAGACCCTTTGCTCAGTATTTAGTAGAAGCACCCTTTTGATCTAATACAGCCATGAGTCTTATTGGGAAAGATGCAACAAGTTTTTCACACAT